CTCCCCAACGGTGCATGAGCGATGTGGTCATGCTGGTGCATGGGGAGAGTGCAGTCACTGTCAGCGACACTGGTCGCAGGTGAAGCTCTGCTACCAAATAAGATACGAGAATGGAGGTGTTTCTTACCTAAGCTTTTCTGTTTGCTTATGAGCTGTGAAGGTAGAAACTTCTGTGTTGTTAATGTGAGAATTTCACTATGTAAAAATGTAATCTCATGCATTTGACTGTGTCCCTTTAAATTCTACATGCTAGAATGTATAGCTGCCAAATCTGTACGTACTGGTACTGAGTGGTGGTGCAGCTGATTCGCTTGAGGGAAGGGATGCCATCCAGAGGGACCTTGACAGGCTTGAGGAGTGGGCCCGTGTGAACCTCCAGCAAGGCCAAGTGCAAAGTCCTGCCCCTTGCGTTGGGGCAACCCCCAATATCCATACGGGCCAGAGGATGAATGAATTGAGAGCAGCCCTGTGGAGAAGGACTGGGGGATACTGAGGGGTGAAAAATCAGACATGAGGCGGCAGTGTGTGCTTGCAGCCCAGAAAGCTGATCGTATCCAGTCATAGCCAACATGGACCTGTTGGAGTAGGTCCAGAGGAGGGCCATTAAAATAATCAGAGGGCTGGAACACCTTTCCTGTGGAGAAAGCCTGAGAGAGTTGGGGTTGTTTAACCTGGAAAAGAGGAGTCTGTTGGGAGATCTTATTGTGGCCTTCCAATGCTTAACGGGGTCTTATGAGAAAGGCTGAGAGAGACATTCTACCAGGGCCTGCAGTGACAGGACAAAGGGCAATGGTTTTAAACTGGAAGAGGGTGGATTTAGATTGCATGTAAGGAAGAAATTTTTGTGATAACAGTGGTGACTCACTGGCACAGGTTGCTCAGAGAGATGGTGGAGACCCCTTCCCTGGAATCATTCAGGGTCAGGCTGGACAGGGCTGTGAGCAGCCTGACCTGGTTGAAGATGTCCCTGCTCTCACTGCAGGGGGGTTGGACTGGGTGACCTTTAAGGGTCCCTTCCAACCCAAACTATTTCATGATTCTGTGAAGTAATCCAGAAAAGGGTATTTCTTGGTGAAGTCCTCTAAAATGGAGTAGCTTGGCAGCAGAGGGCAAATGGAAGTTAACATAGTTAAAACAATGCCTAGAAAGGCATAAACCGTATTAACATCTCTGTGTACAACTACAGCTCAGGAGCTGTATCTGACAGAAATTAGAAGATTTTTTTTTTCCCCACAGATTTTAACTGAAAGGGTGTTAACCCATTTATGTGATTATATGTAACTATGTGTATGTATAGATCTAAAACTGTTCAACACATCTGTGTGTATACATAGGGTTTGGTGCTTTGGGCCTTAAAAGTAATCCGAACACTGCAGAAACCAGTAAACTGAAAGCCATTGCAAGAGTTGTTCCCGAGGGAGACAGGAAGGAGGGTGGAATAGAGGAGAATATACATGTGTTTGGGATCTGATCACATTTTGAAAAGAAACAGAAATGTGATGAGCACTGAAAACCTGTTCCTAACTGCTGACCATATGTCCAGGAACAGGAAGATACTTAGTGAAGCCCAGAAAATTGGCAATAACCTGTTTATGGGATGGGCTTTTTTTAATGTCAGTCTTGTCTTTGTATGGCAGAGGAATCTAGCCACAGTGAAAAAAGAAATCTAGTCGAATAAGAAACTACTCAGTGGCAGTTCTTTCTCTTTTCTTCTTTAATTTGTGAACATGGCTAATTAGTTACTACTGATTAATCACACATAAAAAGCTCTGATGGGATTAGGTGCAGGGGAGGGCTGCGCAGAGTCCAGAGGAAATGAACAAAATCATTTCAGTGCAGTACAGGATACTGGTGCAACCTGAATTTTATTTTAGATTCACTATGGAATTGGTGTCAGGTTACTGGAACTTGGGTGTTCCAAAAACTAATTAAAATACCAAGTGTTTTAATGAGAAAATTTGAGGGTTACTGGAACTTGGGTGTTCCAAAAACTAATTACCAAGTGTTTTAATGAGAAAATTTGAGTATGAGTGGGCATCAAAACCTTAACTAAATCTAGTCTCATTTTTATATAAATTTAAATATCCTTATATTTTGTGATATAAAAATGAAAGCAAATTTAAAGCTGTTTTTATTCATGGCGCATACTGTGCTTTTAGTAAGCTGTGCTTTTCCTTGGCTTTATGATATGTTAAAAAGCTGAAAATACCACGTCAGAACCACCAAACTGGTTAATGCCAAGTCTTGTTAATAGTGATGGTGCTCATTCCTAGCTTGAGATGTAGTGTGTTGGCGGATCTTAAATTGGAAGTGGCCCTGGGTTTGGTTTAAATTTTCTCTGATCAACTTACTTAAAAGGAAGCTCGGTTGCCTTGTTAGCTTTGCCAGCTCTGCTCTCCTATTTCTCTATTTCAGCTATTTTAAGTTGTAATTGTTGTTTCAGAAGTCATTTATGCTGGAGAATGAACTTTTTGTTCTCAATGTTCACATTTGAAAAATTTTGAGTAATCAATCTTAAAACATTTGAAATGTTTAACAAGTGGTACCCCATGAAACTAAAACTATTTTCTGTTGAATATCAGGTTTAATTTAAAAAAAAAAAAACCAGTAATTAAATGTTTGTACAAAATAAGATTTTGACAGTAAAGAACATATTCTCCATGTTTATGCAAGAAATCAAACATAATTTGATTTTTCTTAAACAGGGGAAAGCAGTAGATCATGCATGGTAATATTAATTGGTGATACTGTCAGGTGTTTTTAAGGATATTAAAATGCATATTTGGCTTTAAGAAGCTGACAGAAATTAACAGCAACAACCTGGTAAGTCAGGTGCACTTTCACTCTTCTCGTAAGTTCACGTCCACTTTTACTATCCAAGAAAGTGAAACCATGAGCTGTCAAAAATGGTGGAAAGTAGTTTTCTGTCATTAAACTGAATTTCTGCTTACATGTAAACAAGCACCTCTATTGAATTTTGTATACTAACACTTAATGTTGCACAATACATTTTTTAACCTGACAGTGTCCCTAAATTATCATGTCTGTTTGCTTTCATTTTCCAGCTGGGTTTTAATTTTGCATGCATTTCAGTGAAATACAGTAAGCATAATTGTTGTGTCCTGGAAGCATTTTGGGGCTGTCTCTGCTAGTGCTCTCCAAAACAAGCAAGGTAGTGGAATTAATTTTGCTTTTGTGGGGGTTTGTTAGCTGATGAATAAGTGATGTGGAAGTGATTCCACTTTATTTACGTATATGCGTATCTGGTTTTGAACTTAATGCTGTTTGAAGAATAGCTGTAAGTAATGCAAGTAAAAATTCCTTTTAATGACACCCCAAAGAACTCCGAAATTTAGTAGAACTAAACATTTCTATTTTGAGAAAATAAAATTAAACTCTCTTTAGTTTGGCAAAGCAATTTGTAACGTGCAATGCTTGTCCTTAGTTTATCATAGGAGCCTCTGTGAAGCTGTTTTTTTGAAGTAATGCCAATAGAAAGTGGAAGTTGTGCATCTGCTCGCCAAGCAAAGCAGAAACGTAAATCACACAGTCTTTCAATCCGAAGAACCAACAGTTCCGAGCAAGAACGGGCAGGACTGCAGAGAGACATGTTGGAAGGGCAGGTAAGATCATACGGAGGTTACCAAAGCAGCACCGTAACTTTTTTATGAGTGTTTTTTCTGTGCGAAGAAAATAAATAAACTTAAGTGATGAAATACGTCCAGTAAAGCTGCAGGAACAGCAGACTTTCTTGCTTGCAAGTGCTGACTGTCTTTGGAGACTATTGACGTGGAGGTTGACGGTGTTTCAGGTTGTATTCAGACCTGTGGATCTTTTTATCAGCTTTTGTGTATTCTTACATGAATGATAAAACCATGAAGAAATACAAAGAAACAGCCTATTGATTTTGCTGCAACTCTGTCCCCCTTAAAGGTGAAGATTGATTCTTGATTTCATAAGTTTAAATTTGGAATAGTAGAAACCCAGGAATACAAATAAACCAAAATACTTGTTATTGTGACTCTGGTAGGGAAGGTATTAGTGGGAACGCTGTTCTGCATTCCTTTCCATAAAGTAAATAAATATTGCCCACTTGACAGAGGCATGAGCGAACTTAAGATATTTATTTATTTTTTTAAATTTGGCTCAAATAAAGCTGTGATCTTCGGTGTATTAAACTAAGGGAGAGAACAACCGCCACAAACTTCTGTAATTTTCTTAATCACGCCAGTCTGTGTAGTGGACACAATCTGAAGCTGCTTTGGTGCATTTCACCTACAAATATTGAGATAAACTGTAGGTAAGGCTTCTATAGGAAGTACTTGAAGTAGTGCTGCCAAAGAGAAGCAAATATCAGTTTGAAAACTATTTATTGTCAAATTTGACTATGCAATGTTAGCGTGGGCCTGGCAAAGATGACGCAAAACTTGATTCTTGTCAGAGAAGTGGTTTGAAACAGTAACAGTGTTTGGCGGTGAGAAACCTCACTTTCTGGACTCTGCAGACACTCTGAAGGGAAAACCTTGTGTTTTTTCAGTGTTGTGACATATTTTTAAAAATTTTTTAAAATCAAATCTATTATTTAGTAAATTACACCATTAGCTTTCTGGGAATTAACAGAGGCCAAGTTGTTGCTTCTAGTCATCTAGAAGTTGGAGAATGTAGGTACTTGGGTAGCAAACTGTCGATGCGTTTGGGCTATTACAGCCTTACTGCAGGAAAGGAGCGAAGGGCAGCTGAGAGGGCAAGGCATGCTGTCACTTCTGTGTAGTAAACTGAAGTTTTAAGCTGTTTTAGTATTTCTTATCAAACTCTGTAAGTGTAGTATTCAAAGGTTTTATATGTTTTATGTATCATCTTAGCTAATTTGGTTGACCTTTAACCTTGAACAGCCAGTGGCAGATTCTAACGAGTAGAGAGTATCAATGCCCTTTCACAGTGGAGTTGTAAACCGCATGAGATCTGGACAACTACTTTTGCAGATAAACAGATAACACTATTACATGACATTTTTATAAGCTAATTTAAATAATGCCATCTTTAAAGAGAGTAAAGGAAGTGGATGCATTTTACTGTGCTAGTTACTTTAGGACAGGTTTAGATTTGATTATGCTTTCAGGCTCTGAGAAGCAGATTGAAAACCTTTCCTACATCTCCTTTTCTGTTTCAGAAGTTGTAGGATAGCTTAGTTTCTTCCATAACCTTGCTGTTTGGTGCTTGAATCAGAAATAATATTTCTAACTTCAGTGTTTCTCTTAATAGCATTTCATTTGTATAGTTTTCTTGTTTAATCAATTTTTGTTTCAAGATGGTTTTAATCAGGATCTGTTTCACGTTCTGGTTGGCTGTGAATGCGTGAACAAAAGTACTGTGTCAAGGGAGAGGCAGATGAAGATGCCGAAAGGAGTATCCTAGGGGGACATAAGGAGCATAGTACCACTTCTTTCAACACAGTGCCTGTTTCAGCACAGTGCCACAGCTTAAAGTAGCTGTGAAACTGGTGTAAAACTGAATTATGCATAAAGCAGATGTGCTCTTTGTCATGGGTATTAGTGGTTTTTCTTGCTCTTCTCTTTAAAATTGATGTTCAAGAAATGACTTATAAAATCAGGATCATGATAGGCTTTTCTAATTGTTTCTAAAGACAATCAGCTTGACTGTATTAACCAAAATGTGAGTGAGATTAAATTCTGGTTGTTTAGGTGCTGACTTGGTAGAAGGCGCATGCTGCCCTCTGATGGCTAGTATGCACATGCTTCTTCCCAATTCAGTCAGTTTAAAGGAATGGAACCAATTTCTTTTGGTTTGGGTTTGCTGGAACACTTAAGAACAAAACAATCTGTAATCATCCTTAAACTTGCATTGAATAATGAAGTTCACTTGAATTTGGGTGGTGTCCTGTGCTAACGTTTGTAATTCCATTCTAGTAATGCTTCTTCTGTACTTCTAGACCTGAAATAGTGGTTTTGTGCTGTGGCAGAAGCTGACTCAGTTGTCTTTTTTTTACTCATAGCTGATGATTTCAAGACTTTGAAATTACATACTTTTGCTTTGTTTAAAGAAAACAGATGTTGCTGATAGGCACGTTCCCTGTATATTTGATAGATGAACATTGATATATTAATAATATGGTATGCACGATACCCTATTAATTTCACTTTGAAATTTGGTGACTTGTTTCCTTGCACAGCTATTTCTCAGTTTTTGAATACAGCTGCATTATTTACGGGTTTGTCCAGTAATAAGATGTTGTCTTACTGAATTCTGTGATGACAGGTTAGATATACTACAAAGGAGTAGTTGAGCTTTTTCGTTGTTAGGGTAAGGCTCAGTTAAGTGGAATCTTCTTGTTTTAAAAGTTTATAGCTGGCTACCTAGATCAATAATAAGTGCAGTAACACCACTTAAATGTTGTAGTCCACCAGCAACTGAAGAATAGAACAGTTTTAGTAGGATTTATTTATGTAGTGAGGAAGGACGGTTTATCCTTTAATCCATACTTGTAGGGGATTAATTGGTTGTAGTTATTAGACTAATGACTGTATTTTTTCCTTTCTAATTTGCCATTTTTTAGTAGCATGCTGTGCTTGAAATTTCAAGCCGTTTATTCATATAAGGTTATCCATCGGTTGTCTTCTGCTTTACTCACCACTCAACAGTGTTTGATAAGAGAATCATTGATATAGTGAGAACCTTGACTCCCAACATAAATGAATACTAACTTGTTTTGGATATGGTTTGCATTTGTTCAGGGAAAATATGGTGCTGATGTCTGTTTTATAGGCAGATGAATAAAATTTAAGTAGCTTCCCAACAGAAACTTGTGGTCAACCTGTGTATTGAGCTCAGATCATATAAATCCTGTGTTAGTGGTTTTATTACATGTTTTTGTGTCTCAGAATTGCTATTTTGATTATGCTGAAGAAAAAAACCCCAGCCCTCCTCTGTGTATTTGCTTCAAAATACTTTCTGTGAAGAGGAAATGCTTGAATAATACTGGGGGAGGGAAGGATTAGAAATTACCATTTACTTCGTGTTTAGTTGTGGGTTAATGGCAAAAGTAGGTAGATGTTAAAAATATGTTTAAAAGGTTAGTTTGTCTCAAGCTTTGGTAATAAGGTGCTTTGTGGTGACAAATTCCTAAACTAATGCATAGTCAACTTCTGAATTTCTTTGTTAAGCAAAGGTATTCTTTCTTCTTGAACTGGAAGCACCTTGACATTATATTATCATTTTTTTTCCACCTTTTTTCTTTAATGAGTGTACATGTATCTTGGTTTTATAATTTATCTCTAGTAAAAACAAAAAAACCCCAACCCTCGGGTGATTTGAATTCTCTTCCTTGAAAGAGGAGGAGTATGTAAAGTGAATAATTTTATAATGCGCATAGCTTTTTGTTTTGTATTCTACACTAGTAGTAGTTTTAATTTCCTTCCTTGCTGGGAGATAGAACTGTTAAAATCAATTTAAGATTGAAAGGCAACTACATAAAATATATGTAAAGAAAAATATAAACGACAATATTTTGCCTTCTAGGATTCTAAACTACCATCTTCCGTACGGAATACGCTCCTTGAACTTTTTGGACAAATAGAGCGGGAGTTTGAAAACCTGTATATTGAAAATTTGGAATGTGAGTATCTATGGTGTTCTAGCAACTTATAACTTGTTTGGATTTAGGTTATAGTAACGTGAATTGAGATGCTTACCTTGGATACTGCAGTGTAATTACCATAGCTTTTCTGTGAGGAGTTTAAGAATTGTTTTGACCTTGTAGCCAAAGAGGGGGCTTGTACCTTTTCAGAAAAATCACTTTCTTAGCTCTTTGACAGAAGTAGTGGGAACTGATGTGCGTCATCCTCCTTGCTCTTAGGCAAAGAAGGTGAACTGGCTGTCTCCTGGTCATTGTAGGCTCTGGTGTATACCATGTTAATTTGGCAGTAACTCCATTCAGCCATTGAAGTTTGTGGCTTTGTTGTATACTTACAGGCTTAATTTTAATGATATAATATTAGCAAATAAAATTGGAAAAGTGTCTTTCTTGAAAAGGTGTAAAATGCAGCGGGTTTGGGTCGTTCTACTTAGTACATTGCATAACCAACACCTGCAACTGTTCATGAATTTTGAAGTTGAGCACTTAGATAAAAATTCCAGGTGTATTTGCAAAAAAAGTTATTTGTTTAATGACAGTGCAGTTGTATGGTAATTTAAGTGATCCAAGGTGATGTAAGAGGATCCTAAGTAACACAGGCAGTCATACAGTAAAGCCTCTGCTCAATTTTCCTTGATAGATTTTGGAAGCTGTGTTGTGTGGCTTGACTTCTGAATTGTGGAATCTGTCTGGTTTGGCTCCAAGTCAAAATTTTTTTCACACCTAATCTGTTTCCACAGTTAAACCAAACACTCATGTTAAAAAAAAAAACCAAAAACAACCAAATTCTTGCACGCTTTTTGAAAATATGCTGGCTTTTTATTCTCCTAAAACATGAGATTGTGTTGGTTAAAGGCTATCATCAACACTACACGTTTTTTAGTGACAATTTGCACAACTGCGTTTTCAGCCTCCTGCTGAGAAGTTGGCTGGTAGCAAGAAAAGTAGTGATTCCTCCCCTGCCCCAACCTTCAGAAAAGTTTGTCAGAAAACAAGTGGTGAATTTGTCTGTACCCTCCGGAGTATGGTTATTTTCCGTCCATACCATTTCTGTTTCTTCTGCATCTTCCTTCTTCACCTCACAGTTCTAGTTCACTCCTGGCCTTTGTGATCTTTTTCCCTCCCCCTGACAGTTTCTAGGTTTTTCTCTTCTGATGCTCAGTCTGTTATTTTTTGTTTTTATCTAATTCCTACATTAGTGTTGCGATTACTGTATGTAGAGAATTTCAGGGTTTTCCTCCCTGGCTTTTCGTACACTCCCTTTCCTTATTTACAGTGTCTTTCTAGTTTCTTCCTTTTCTTATCCCTTTGAGGTTCAGTCTTAATCCTTTCAGGCAATTCTTGTGTCAGTCTGGCTTGTTTGTTTCAGTCATCTGTTACTACAAGTCTGTATCCTTGTTTACTTCTCTTTCCTATTGTTTGTGTTTTTATAAAAGTTTAGGTTTATATGACTGGGAACACAGGCAAGAGAATCTTGCTTTGCTCATTTCAAGCACTTGGATGTGGTATGGAAGTGTAAACTGACTTTTCTAGTGCTTAGAACTGATACTTCAGTGAATTTCTCAGAAATGGCAAGAATCATATTCCTGATGGGTCACATTCTCCCACATTTCAAACTCCGGGAGTGAATGACTTTTTCTAAAGAAGTCCTAAGAATCTGTGGAAAGACAGACCTAGACTTATTCTCAAGAACAGTGAAAAACTGCTTCGTTAAAGCCTCTCAATAAGATTTCACCTAAGGAGAACACTTAAAGAGTATCAGCCCAGATTTTGAGAAAAAACTATAAGCCACTGAAAACGTTCTTTATAAAATGAAGTTGAGCAGCTTTAAACCAGCCTAGACACTGAAAATCATTTACAAGTATCTGATTTGTTTTAGTTATGCCATCGTTCTGTCTTGTGTTGAAATGGCAGTGGTGAGAGTTATAAATAATCGACAGAAAAGTATATTCTTGTTACAAATACGTGCTTTGTCTGATGTGTGATGAAAACATTTTGATAGTATTTAGTGTTTCTAAAACACTTGAACGTAAAATATATGTCATTCTACATTTTTTAATGTATTCCAAAGTATAAAAATCTACATTTGCTGCACTACCTTTCCTACTGAAACTCTTAACAGTAGACAGGCATTCAGTAGAAAATACTATTTTGTGATTAATAAAATCATTGTCAAGAAGTGACATACTAATTCTTTGGCTAAAACATTTATGATGCTGCCAGTTTTCTGTCTTCTGTTGGATTTACACAATACAGGTGTGCCATGGATTTCGCAGAAGCTGTTTTGTTAATCCTTAGCCACATTTATTAGTAAAAGTAACAGTAATTAGAAGCCACTAATACTTTCCTTGGAATCTGGGTCAAGGTTGATCTCTGGAAAATTCAGCATGAGTCTTGGTTTATGTCTTGGTGAGACCTGCTTTTATAAAATCACAGTTGATCTCTTTTCTTGTCATTATCATAAAATAGACTACTTACTAACCATAATGATTCTTAAACAGTATGTTAACGATGGTGTTAATGATACTCAATTTTTTGTATTAATGTGAATTTTTGTTATTGTTAGTACGTAGAGAGATTGATACACTGAATGAGCGTTTAGCAGCTGAAGGACAGACAATTGATGGAGCTGAACTGAGCAAAGGACAACTGAAAACAAAAGGTAAGAGAACCATAAACAATCCTAAACTAGTATTTTTTTAAATTAATTTTTTGTGTATTTTGCTGTCCAAAACTTAGAATCTTACTGAAGGGAATTAATACCAGTTACTTACACAAATAAGCTAATGTTGTATTATGAAATATCTTCCTTTGAATTTATTTGTCTCAACAGCCAGTCATAGTACCAGTCAGCTTTCTCAGAAACTAAAGACAACTTACAAGGCATCTACTAGCAAGGTATGAGACAAATTAAACCTCTGTTCATCAATGTGTACTAACATGGCTATCCTTAAGTTGTAAATTGTAGTTTCTTTAAGCTGAGTAGTGCTTGAAGATACTTTTCTTTAAGTAAACCTGCCTCATGAGGAACAGTATCTTCATCTTGGATTCATCAGGTACCCATTACTTCAACCACAGTGTATGACATTTTTACAATAATTGCTCATATTTTTAAAGAATGAATATTGGAGGGGAGAGAGTGAGTGCACATGTGTGTATGTGGGATTGCTCTTGTAAAGGGAACTAAAAAAATACTCAATTTCATGAAGGAAATAGAGAACTTGGTAAATTTCTGAATAAAGATTTGGGTATTGCAGTTGAAATGGGGATTTAAGTAGGCATCTATATATGTGCTATGACAGGTTTTTGTGGGGGTTTAAAATTTGTTTTTATTTTTTAGCTATGAGACTAGAACGGTTTGTTTCCTTTATATTGCAAGCCTTGCAAATTAGTAACTAGTGATCTTTTTGCCTGGTCTCTTAGCACAGTTACACTTTCTGATGTTTTTCATTTTGCACATCTGCATCTGTCCGGTATTTTTGTTTTCCTCTTTCTCTCCCCTTTTTCAGTTTTCATAGAGAGTTTACTTGCTGCTCTTTTTGCCCTGTCTCAGGGTCATTTCACGACACATTATTAAGGGTAAATGAAATGTGAGGAAACCACAGTGGGATGTGGTACATGAACCAACTACATAGGAAGCTCTGTGCTGACCTGTATTGGAGGCTGATGTGTGATTATGGAATGACTGTAGGTGTCTTGCTAATACCATCTGTTAAGTAGTCTGAAAGTTGACACTAAGCGAGAGTGGTGTGGTGAAATAGATCTAAGTTACTGTGGTTTATTTGGTCTCCTTTTTAATTTTATTGTTTCTCAAACTTCTGTCTTTATATGCAAGCCCATCTAATGCAGAGGTGCCTCCTTTTTCTTCAGAGTTAATGACTTAAGAATTCTTTAATGAGGCCACTTAAATAAGGACAACATGATATTAATAGGGACCATGTAGTATTAGTACACCTATTATGTAGTTATGTATTAATACTTTCTCTAGTGTAGTGATGGGGTTTGGTTGGTGTGTTTGTGGTTTTTGTTTGTTTGGTTTGGGGTTTTTTGGTTTTTTTTAAGGCCAGTGTTAAATGCTTGTTGTCTTTTACTTGCTTGCAATGCAGTGCTCATATTCGTTCCTGAGCAAGGCGGGTGGACCTCGCAGCTTCAGCGTGGGAAGCTGGGAAGTATGGGGTGGAGACTTCTGGGTAGCTGCTTTGCTTCCCGGTGTTCTGATATGCATGCACAGCAAAGTAGTCATGAGTAGTGGAACGTGAAGGATTTAATACCTTTTTATAGACATCGTACATATCTATGATATCAATCGATAACCAACAGATGTTTGAATGTGCTGATATATTTCTTTCCACAACTTTGAGTCAGAGTTTACTGGGGGGTAGAGAGGAGAGCTGAGGGTAATGACGAAGTTGGTGGCATCTCTCCCCAGTGTGTTCTTTGACACCTTTCTGCACTTCATGGGCGTGGCTTTATTTAAACCACTTTTTCCTTCCTACACAGAAGAGTCAAAGCTGCAATCTTTTGTCTCTTGACCCACAAAGAGACTAAAGCCAAAAGTCAGGAAAGGCTATAACTAAGTTCCTAACAAACTGTGCTCTTTCTGTCTGTATCCTGACTGGATGCAATTAGAGTTCCCTAATATACTGTCTGAGAAAATGACACTTGAAGAGTTTTAAGAATTCAAGAGCTTTGAAATTCTTATGTCTGTATTTATGAACGCCGAATGAACAGTGCTGTTCCCAGAAATGGATTGTGTTCCAGACGCAGTGGGGTAGTGGATTGCAACTTTTCTCTTTGGCCCATCCTTTACACTGTTACTGTATGCCTAATTTAAAACTTGTCAGAAGTCTGGGTTTGTTGGGGTTTTTTTATTATTTTATTATCTTTTCCCTGTGGATTATTAGAGGAGACGTAAGTTTTACAAAGCAATTGTTTTGTGTAATTGTGTGCAATTACACTTTTCTGATTGCCAACCTACAAAGAGTTTAGGTTTGTTCTGAAAAGAGCTTTCAATATTTGCTTGTGCTAATGAGAAAGCTGACCCTTTGACTGCTTTAATGTTGGCAAGACATGCTAAGACTAAAGCAATCTGTTCATTTTCTTGGGGAAAATGCTGAGGTAAACATGCTTAATTCAAACCCTTCATAGAAAATTCGCATACCTGGATACTGTTTATCCCTTAGCTGAGTTAGGAGTCTGAATATTAAGTTGGCAAAACTATATCGGAAAAGGATGCTTTTAGCAGCAGAGGTTATCCACCAGTGCCCAAATCCTGAAGAGATAGAGTAGATTTAGTACTTGGTACTCTAAAAGTAATTTTTTGTATATGTTAATGGACAAGATCCTGTAATTTAATTGCAATTGTTTGTAGGTGCAGGAATTGCTATGTGAAATTCATGTTCTGATGTTAACAAGTTGTTATTGCTGATGTTAACAGTCCCTGGCTATGACAGTTGTTAAGACATCAGGAAAACATTAACAGTTTATGCAGAATCCTAAAATAAACTGAAATCATATAACTGTCTCCATCATAAACTAATTTTCAGGATCTCTGATTCTTTTGGATCAGGAAAAGGACTCTTAAAGGAAGGTATTTCTTCACCCAGCAGTTGAAGGGAATAAAAATTTTTGGAAGATGGAGTTTTTGACCTCACTGCTTAATGTATCTCCACAGGAAATTCTGTTCATCAGTCACAGAGTCATGCTGCTGGACGGGTCCTGAGTTGACCAAGCTTTCATTCTTATTTCTAATGTGTCCTGTCTGCTTAAGAGACATTTTTACAAAGTGCTTCAATTTGTGTGCCATGCTGTTGTTTCAATTTGTGTTCAGTTTTCAATTGTTTACATGGTAAACAATCGTATCCTTATTAACGAATCTCTGTATAGAAAGAAGTACATGAAACTGTATGGATTTAAGACAGACAGACAAAGATGAAACACACTCAAGATATGATTGCTTATTTGCATTTGTATATGATAACCTCAGATCTGCTGAAGTTATTTTAAGAACTTTCTGCAGTGCAGAGACCTCTTTTTAGCAAGTTGCATGTTATTTAAGTATGTCCTTCCCTGTCTTGGAAAATTGTTCATGTATGGTTAAGGAACCAAGAAGTAATCCAGGTGCTATCTAGTTTATCTGATTACTGGTATGGGAAGAAAAAAAACATGTGTAGAAAAAGTGTGCATTAAATAAATATCTATATTTGTGGATATTTAGTGTTAGATAGTGTTCTTGAAATCTTCTGTGTGTTCATTCAAGACTGCTAGTACTTCAAAAGGAGTTTTACAGCCTTGCCATTAAATGATCAGTGGAACCACTGCCCAGCAGTTTTGGAAAATCTATGCTTGCTGATGAGTAGGAGATAATTTCTCCTAGAAAACTTTTGCTGAGGATTTGACTCAACATTGGAAAGACAGAGTGCAAGCATAGTTTGAGTGTGGGGTTGAGAGTTGAAAAGCTTCAAGTTTAGAATTTGAGCTGAGCACTATATTAATCCTTAACTGTTTTCTTAATTCTGCTGTTCCACTTCTCATATGTGACTCTACTTAGTTTAAGGACTGCATCTGTAGGATTATGTTCAAGGCTTATGAAACTGCACTATGGTTGAACTAATGATCTTTACCGTTTTCTTTTCAACGCGTCCTTAATGATTGTTCCTTCTGCTGTGTAACCAAAATGCATATTAGCTGTTAATTTGGAATTCAAATAGGACATTATCATTTCATCATTGGAAAGTTGAGATGTCCAGGATTTGGAATGTTCTTGCTGATACTCCGTAACTTTTAGAAATCTTTGTGGAAGTAATTTGCTTTAATGGCATACTTGAGACCTTCTCTTTTGATACCAAAAACTAATGGGATTTTAACCTTAGTTTACTGTATCTGAAATGTAGACTTAATTAATTTTTTAACTTTTACTAAGCTGTAGATAAGTCTTAATGTGATTTGTGTTGAAGCATTTAAAGGTTTGACCTTAACTGGTCATACAGATACCTGCCCATAATTGCATGCAGAGGAATACTTGGATAAATGGAAGTTGTCTTTTTGTTTTAGTTCTAACAAAGCTTTTCAGGTAGTCTTTCTCAAAGAACAGTTATGTGCTTCAAGACTGGTGGGGTAAAAATAGGGTATTTTTAACAGTGGTTTTGCTTTCTGAAGTCATCTTTCACCACTCTTGATTTCAGTTGTTTCTGGCTGTGTTCCAGCAAGACAAACTTTTTTTTCTACACTCCCCTTTCATCTGAAAATGCAATTTTGTTCCTTTCTGTAGATACTGAGTGTTTTCAGCCTTCCTGTACTATAGTGCCTTGTCGTTTTACCATTTTTGCTAGGCTTTTTCTTCCTTTCACTTGGTATTACTTATGCACATACTAATTTGGATTTAATGACTCTTCTCTATTTTCCCCTAATAGCATTGACTTTGAGGGAATGTGCTTATCAAATGTTCAGATGAGCTTGACGTATCTTTAAGAAAAAAAAAAAAAAGCTTTATTACGCAAATAAATGGGCATATGCTCTCAGGTTGATGTTTGATTTGATGAGCTTTGTGCAGTTCCGAAGAGAAACAGCAGTGAGTGTTTTAAATGGGAATGTTTCTGGATTTCACTACAATTATGTAATAAGTACATGTTTCAAAGACGTATGCAGGATAACATGCACTATCTTTAAGTTATCAGATGTACTTGTTTGGGGATAGGCAAGGAAAATTTTGAGGTTTTTTTTTGTTCTGTTTTTTATTATAATCCTTTACCCAAACTGAATGGGAGGTGCATACTGCACTTGTACAATGTGTTACTCCAATGAGATTGCATTATTGTAGTAGAGCATAGTTTACCTTGCAATCTGTAAAACGGGGGGGTGTTACTAAAAAAGAAAAGAAAAAAGAAATTAAGAGGTATGTTTGCATCCAAACTCACTTTCCTACCATCAAATTTTTGGCAATAGTGAACTATCAGAACACTGAAGAATAATTATGAAAAAGTTAGTATCTATTTATGTTTGTGAGATAATGACTTAATCTTGGGTCAATGTGGAAAAAATATGTTGGTGTCTCTGCTATTTCAGATTGTATCCAGTTTCAAAACTACAACATCAAGGGCAATCTGTCAACTGGTAAAGGAATATGTTGGCCACAGGGATGGTATTTGGGATGTCAGTGTCGCGAAAACTCAACCAGTGGTGTTGGGAACTGCATCTGCTGGTAAAGTTTTGTGTTGCTTGAATCTTTAGAAAATTCTGGTTTAGTCCCTAAGCTATAGCAAATGTAGATCAAAATTCTTATCTCCACACTGGAAGAGTTGATTTAAAGAAGTTCAGTAGCTGAAAAATTCTTAAACTGCAGTTTCCTTGAAATGCATTCAACCTTTAGAAGGTCCAGGTGTCCTTGTTGATCTTTCCAAAGTACATGCCAGGTAACTTCCATGCAGGCCATGCTCTTCTTAGCATCAGCTCTAGCCTGTCGGATGGTGTAAAGGGGTGGGTCAGGGAGCTGCTTGCTTGGAGAGGTCTCTTGCACAGAATACTATGCTGTTGTATACAGAGATCACCACAGGCTTCCTGCTGTAGTAGTGTTTAGCCTTTGGTTTATAGAAGCTGTAGACTTAATCATAGTTTGCATATTTTTATATTCTTACATTCATCTGGCTTTTGCCTAAGGATCTAGGAGCAACTAAAAATCTTAATTTTCAGATCTTATGTAACTTACTAGATTCCTTCCTTTCTACTTAAGAGAGGGAACAGGTACTACTGAATAAGTCACTAAACCTACTGTGATCCAAAAATCAATCTAGTGTCTTGTGTGGATTTGGAAAATTGTTAGGGAAATAAACCATAGCTGGTTAGAATTGGTCAGTTTGAAGTGGCAGTCTTTTGAAACTGGAACAGAATCTGACAACACTTAGTGGACGTAAATGCTATGGACCAGAAACCTCTGCTTCATAAACTGAACTGTTAGCTTTTTTGCGCGACCACTGAGGGGCACGTTTTGTCTTTGTGTGGGATGTCTTGTCTTTCCCCTGATTTAACTTGGAAACAGCCATCCTCCAATTTAGCATTAAGGTTGTCCCCATTTACAAATACTTATATTAATTATTTATTTTGGGGTGTGGCAGGGTAAAGGATTGGCATTGGGAGCTCTTCCCTTTTTAAGTAAGTTTTTGTAGGACTCTGCAGCGACCTGTATGCATTTGGGACTTCTATGCGGGAAGTAAAAATAGTTTGTGCATAGAATTCTTGTTTGTAGTGGCTGCCTGACTTTTCCACCACTGAATGCCTTCTGTGTTCTTTCTGAATCTCATGATATGCAGTTGGGGCATTATACATAAGTATATGACCAAGTTAGAAAAAATAGCAAAAGTAGAATTTGCCTTTCAATACTTACTGCAATTAATCCGATTGGGACAGCATCTTCACTTTTTTGAGATGCATATTAAGTTATAATGATAGGAAGCTTTTATATTTTATTTATAAGGTAATAATCGGGAGGAGTTGGTCTTTTCTACATTTGAAGTCTATTTCATATGGTATGAAATGTTCAAAGATAATTTGTTTGTTGAATCAATTAAAAGTGAAAGCCATACATTTGTAACAATATTTACAGTGACTTTTTAATCTTTGTAGATCACACTGCTTTGCTGTGGAGCATAGAAACAGGGAAGTGCCTGGTCAAGTATGTAGGGCATGTTGGGTCAGGTAAGATAAGGGCATGTTGTGAAACCTGGAAACAGAATGTGTTGGGCGGGGGAAGTGGGTTTTGGATGACTGCAGAAATGTTTATTGTGGTTTCACTTGCAGGTTTGCCAACACCATTAACAAGTTAATTGTGGAGTTCCATTAATCCTCACAGAGAGAATGTTTTATACTATGATTCTTTCTTAGAGAGGCGTATTAAGACAGTTCTGTAAATGCTAAATGAATAAACAAGTCTGTATGAAGACATTTACAGGCACAGTTACGACACCCAGAAGTTAAATGTCAGAACTCATCGAGTTCTTATGCATATGCAGAACAAGAGAAATACATATCATCAGAAGTGAGCTGTTTTGCAGGATCTGTGTTACATTTAGAATACACGATGCAGATGCTAGATGCTGCGTGACCATCTATTTGTACTTTTTTGTTTAATAGATGATCCCATATATAATTTGTTGCATAGTATTAAAAACTTGTTTTGAAGACAGTTAATTCAATATAGGCATTTGTCTTCCTCTATACCAGTATGGATATTTCGGAAACACTGTTTTTAAACCCCTCCTTGGGTGGAGAGGTGCAGTGCAGTGTTTTTGATGTTAATCTTAATTGTTGGTGTCCAGTTTGATGAGTACCTGATTACCCCCCTTCTCCTCATAATGGGTTACAATATATGGTTTTATAGACAAAAGGTGGAGAGGTTTTCCATAGCTTTAACTTGTTGTCAAGAGTTGAGCACTTTGAGTGTTCATACCCTGGAGTGTAGAGTCATGCACCCAGAAAATGAGGGACGCAGTTGTTGACCTGGTATGTTTGGTTAAGTAACTCAGCTAGCACGTCACATGAACGTTGTGGCAAAGATACAAATGGAATTAACTTATCCAGAGAGTGGTCAGCTGCTTCAACCATACTTTTTTTTCCTGCTATATGGCTACTACCTCCTACAGCACAAATCTACCAATAGATAGAATCATAGAAACAAAGGGGAACACTTTTTAGTTTGTTCGGATATCTCAGGCTACTTGCTGTGTGAAGAGGGTAACTGTAGCCTCCAGAAAGTCACATTTAAAAACTCCCATCACTTGCTTTTTCATGCTGATAGGTTGGTTTGTTTTTTTTTTTTAAATTGCTATTTGGGTAACTGTGAAAATAAAAAAAGCTTTCACCTGTATTAAACAGTTATGTGTAAACTAAAAAAAAAAATTAAAAAAAATGTATGCTATAATGTATAAACAATATGTAAATTCTATAAAAATCCATGTATTTTTAATTTAAGGTTTTCTTGTTTACATTTGACAGTTGGTTTGAAATGGAGTAAAGGTGTGGGGTGCCAGCAGTTGGTGCACTGTTGAATTAATTCATTGTGAACAATTCAAGGAATATCTTTTTAGACTCATGACACCACGCTCTCCTGACAACATAAGCATCTGTTTTACTTGTACAATGGATGGAAATTACTTCTAAGTTCTTTCTTGAAGAACAGTTGAAGAGAAGCTTATGGATTTTGCAAATGAAAGTGCTCAATAATGAAAAGTAATTGAATCTTATGCACTGAAATAAAAAATGAAGAGCAGCTTTGTAGGCTGATAAAATTCTTGCAGGACTATTTTAAAACAATCATGTTTTGCTTACACATGGTTGCAGGACTGAAATCTAATTTGTATTACTTGCATTAGGTTTTTAGGCATTTGTTCTTGCAGTCTTAAGCAATAATCAGAAACTTGATGGTCATATATATAGTAAGTTTTCATTATGTTAGAAATAGTTATGAATATTTAAATTCTCATTATGGAATTCCAGAGCATTATCTCTTGTCAGCTTACACACGATTATTTGAATGTGGTTTGTTTATCCTCTGTAACATGAAACACTTGTGCTTAGATTCGGGAAGTAACTTGCTAGAAAATATATATTGTTGTATAATCAGCTATAGGTGCTTTCATGACACTACATAGGCTTATGTACTCAAAATACCATTGTGCTTTATCTCACTGAAGAGATTGCTATACTACAAAAAATTAAAACAAGACTTCTTGATGTTTCAATGCTTTTAGTTATAAAACATTGTAAAATAATTCTTTTTAGTATACTAACTTAAACCTTTACTTTCTTTTACACAGTAAATTCCATAAAGTTTCATCCAACTGAGCAAGTGGCCCTTACAGGTATGTAAAGATTTTTCATATGCTCGGTGTGTTAGTCGTGATGGAAAAATAAGTCTCATTCACCAGCATCTTTTTGGTTGTAGCCCCTCTTCCTATTGCTCTGTCAGTATCCTTGTTGATTGAATTATTTTTATGTTTTAAGGCATAACAAATTAGAGCTAGATCTTCTCCATTGTCATTTGTGCTTACCTGCTCCAAATCAGACACTTAGAATCAGACATCAGCTGAATGTTCACAAGTCCATGGGGCCTGATGGGATTCATCCCAGGATACTGAAGGAGCTAGCGGGTCTTATGGCAGGACCCCTGTCATCATCTACCAGAGATGGGAGTCTTGGGAGTCTGGGGAGGTCCCTGCTGACAGGAAGCTAGCCAGTGTTGTTCCCATCTACAAGAAGGGTGTGAGGGAAGACCCAGGGAACTACAGACCTGTTAGTCTAACCTCGGTTCCCAGAAAAATTATGGAGAACATTATACTAGGTATTGTTGAAAGGCATTTAAAGAATAATGCAATCATCAGGCAAAGTCAACATGGGTTCACAAAGGGAAAGTCCTGTTTAACTCATTTGATATCCTGTGATAAGGTCCCCCACCTAGTGGATGAAGAGAAGGTGGTGGATGCAGTTTTTCTGGATATTAGCAAGGCTTTTGATACTGTCCCTCACAGGATCCTTCTGGACAAGTTGTCCAACTGTGGGATGAGCGGGTTCACGGTGCATTGGGTGAAGAAATGCTGAAGGGCAGAGCTCAAAGCGTTGCAGCAAATGGGGCTACATCTGGCTGGCAACCAGTCACCAGCAGTGTTCCGAAGGGTTCAATTCTAGGGCCAGTCTTGTTCAATGTGTTTATCAACGATTTGGATGCAGGAGCTGAATGCGCCATTAGCAAGTTTGCTGATGATCCCGAACCGTGAGGTGCTGTTGACTCTCTTAAGGGACAAGAGGCCTTGCAGAGGGATCTTAAGATAGGTTGGAGCATTGGGCTATGATTAATGGGATGGAATTTACCAAGTCCAAATGCCAGATTCTGCACCCAGGACAGAGCAATGCCAGGCACAAGTATAAATTGGGAGAGGCGTGGCTGGAGAGCAGCCCTGCAGAAAGGGATCTGGGGGTGCTGGTCAATAGCAGGCTCAACAGGAATCAGCAGTGTGTCCTGGCAGCCACGAGGGCATACTGGGGTGCATCAAACAGTGCTTAAGTGGTGGGTCAAAAGCGGTGATTATCCTGCTGCATTCAGCATTGGTGCAACCTCACCTTGAATGCTGTGTGGGGTTCTGCGCCCCACAATTTCAGATGGATGTGATGGTCCTCAAATGCATCCAGAGGAGGGCAACACAGCTGGTGACAGGGCTGGAAGGCATGTCCTGTGAGGAGCAGCTGAGGACTTTGGGTTTGTCTAGTTTGGAGAAAAGGAGGCTGAGGGGCTACATGGTTGCTCTCTACAGCTTCCTGAGGAGGGGATGAGGGGATGTGGAGAGTGAGGTGCTGAGCTCTTTTCCCTGATATCCAGTGACATGTGGGAATGGTTCAGAGCTGTGCCAGGAGAGGCTTAGACTTTACATAAGGAAATATTTCTTTACTGAGAGGGTGGTCAGACACGGGAACAGGTTTCCTGGGGAGGTGGTCGATGCCCCAAGCCTGTCAGTGTTTAAGAGGCATTTGGACAATGCCCATAATACCATGCTTTAACTTTTGGTCAGCCCTGAAGTGGCCAGGCAGTTGGATTAGATGATCGTTCTAAGTCCCTTCCAACTGAAATAGTCTGTTCTATTCTATCTTAACCCTTTTGAAACATGTGATGTTTCCAGAGGCAAAGGACAAGAATATTGTGATACTGAGTATGCTTTAAAAACAGCTTGAAAATTTGACTGTTAAATATAAAGGTTTTTTCAGGACTGAGAATACCATTAATGCAGCTTCAGGTTTGAAAACTGTCTAATGTGGTTCATACTGTGGTTCATATGGTCCATCAATTAGGGCACTAGCTTTGGGATTAAAGAGAACTGGATTCAATTTGCTGCTATTAGGTGCGTCATTGGAAAATGAGGATAATTATTACTGAGGTTAGAAATAAAAACACTGCTTCTTTCTGCATCTATGGTGACCACTTTAAAGGAAGGTAGGGAGTAGAATGCCTTCTATCTAGGTTAACGATATAAGTCTGGCTCTTCGGATTTTTCAGTTTTCGTATGATAACTGTAGTTATTGTTTCAGTACCATAAACAATGTTGCTATATAAACTGACTTATAAAAACCCAAACGAACCAATCACCAAACAAAAGCTGCCCATAGCTAGATTTTTGTTCTTCTATTATTTTTCTGAGGGATGGTTCTGCAAAGTATTTCCATTGGGAGTTTTCAGCAGACCTGTTCTTCAGTGTCACTGGATTGATTTAGAACTGTTTAAAATAAAAAATCTTCCTCCCTGATCCAGAATACTGACACCATAAATAATACAAGGCTGACCTTTCTTCTAGCCTTCTTACTTGGTCTGTGAGATGAGATTTTTTTCCTAGTGCTTTCATGTACATTGCACTTGGCAGATCTATGCATACTCATTACAAACTGGTTTTCTTCTCAATCTAGAACTCTCAACACTGCACCCCTAGGTATTAGAGCATGTTTGTTCTGTCCGTAACAAGGAGAATCTTGAGTTTCTCCTTAATTAATACTGGATAAGTCTATTTAAAAAACAAATGAAGTCTAAAATCAGATGGTACCTGCTGAGCTGTTAACTGGTGCTAGTTAAGTTGAGTTGCTTAAGGCAGAAGCAGAAGAACTTCACACTTGCTCTTTTGGGTTTCTCATTAAAACCACACTAAAAACATATCATGGAAGAAATCACTGAATGAAGAGGAACCTCAGTATTTTGAGAAATAGCAGATAAAGCATGGGACCTGTTGATGTATTAAATGCCTTCTTCAAATGTTACTTATTAGAACAGCAGTGATATTCATGTTCTGATGTGTAGTATTTAGGTGGGTGTTTCCACTGTAGGAATAATTAATTTGGTAGCTACTTGTATTTTGCATAATGAGTTATGTTCTTATCAGTACTGAAGCCAGGAACGTAATGGTTGATGCTGAGACTTGCTTACCAAAAAGGTCGTAATGATACCTGTTAGACAAAGATGCAACTCATACACTGTTGCCCAATGTAATGTTGTTTTTATTGTCCATGGAAATGCCCTTATTTAGTCTGTCTGTGTCTCTTCCCCCCTGCCCCCCCCTTCCCCCTGTGCAGCATCTGGAGACCAGACAGCTCACATCTGGAGGTACATAGTACAGTTGCCTACACCTCAGCCAACGGCAGACTGCAATGTAAGCAATCAACTTACTGCAACCAAACTAATTGCACAGCAATTGCATCAGATACAGGTTTTATGATAAGACTGAATGTTAAATTTATACATAATTAAAAAATTACATTATTTCAGGATTACAGAAGGTGGGATTTTAATGTTTTAGTTTAACATACATTTCAGCCTTTCTTTCAAAAAAGACTTCGTGTTTTCAAAGATCTGTAGTGCAGAATAGAATATGCAGCTGCAAGTAAATTAATTGACTTTTTGTTCATGGTGATAAACGTGTAAGTAAATGAACTGTCGAGTAAAATTTTTTTGTAATAATTCAAATAATAAATAATAATGAAGTTCTTTTTAAACTAGTTAAATTCTTGTAGCTTAACTTACTGAGGCATCTGTATTAGCTATAGTTGCTATGAATTGAAAACTGATGGTAAAGGCTTGGGGTTTTGGCATTTATTTAATTGTATCTTTAAATTTGATTTCTAATTGACCCTTGCCAGCACTTATCATGCTATCTGACATTGTTGTCCCCAGGCTTTTATTTAGTCAGTATTTACTGTAGACTGTCAAATGCTGTATTTGTCTTAAAAGCACCCTTACTAAACTGTGAAGACAAACACAAGCATGAGCTTCTCAGTAAGCTGAGTAGGGGCAAGAGATGGCTGTATAATGTGAGATAGATTTCTGAATGGAAAATATTTGATTCAGTTTATTTATTTGGCATTTCCATTTTGAAAGAGTGGTACAAATGTTACCTTTTTCACAACCAAATATCATGAAAGAAAAGTGGATTTGTCTTGCATAAGTGAATTAGGATTCAGAGATTGATGCTTCCTGGTTAGCAAAATAATGTATTTTGCATCCAGTTTACATCAGCGCTGCATGATGGCAGTGTATTGACCAGCAGAAAAAGATTGATGTAATGATTTTGGTTCTAATGGATAAAAATATGGCTGTAAATGATTGTCTTCCCAAAGATTAAAATAGTCAGTGTCCTGTTAGGTGCTTCCTACTGCTAAAAATTTAAAGGAAAAAAGGTCCCCTGGTACATGTGCTACAATGAAACTCAAGGGTAATGCAGTGAGGGGAATATAAAAGACTTACCACATAGTAAAGGGGACAGATATTCAGAGCTAAACAGATCAGAAGAGATTTTAAATTAAAGTAGTTATTAAAACTGCATTTAACTCACTGGTGTTATTCCTTCAGCTAAGTTTTTGATAGTGAATACCTGAATAGGCTAGATTCTATAGGCTTAAGTTACTCACATTGACATTTGGGGACTGGGAAGCAGTTACACTGTAAAACATAACTTGGAGGCATATTCCTTTCCATTTATTCTAAATCTTATTTCTCTTGCCTTATATAGCAAATGTCTGGAGAAGATGAAGTTGAGTTCTCAGATAAAGATGAACCTGATGGAGATGGAGATGGTTCTAGTGATTGTCCCACTGTCAGAGCTCCATTAACTTCACTCAAAAGCCATCAAGGAGTGGTCATAGCAGCCGACTGGCTTGTTGGGGGGAAGCAAGCTGTGACAGCATCATGGGACAGGACAGCAAATCTGTATGATGTAGAGACTTCCGAACTTGTCCATTCGCTTACAGGTATTTGTTCACTCACAAAAAAAAATGGTGTTTTATTTTTATATGTGGGATTATTTGTAGCTATTAAAACATTGGGAAAGCTAGGTTGTTTCTCTGGAGTACTGTTTGAGTTGCTGCTCGCTATTGTAATGGTTTCTAACATTCCAACCTTGTTAATCCTCTAAGCATGAATTTGTTTTCTTTTAAGGTTGTGCTATATTATATGAAGCAGTTGCTATTAAACTAAAGGTAGCCAAATTTTAGTCCTTGCAAAGTGCTTTTGCTGTGTTCGTGGCATATATTAAGTAGCAGTAATCTATCGCTACTTAATAATTATGTGAAGTGAGTAGTGGTTTTTTTTTTCCTTTTCAATATAGTTCTAAACTTTTACAGCAGTAGTAATGTAAGAGTTCAGAATATTTATTATTATTTTACTTTTTCGGGGGAAAAAAGAATCATCAGCATTTCATTCCAAGTGTATGTGGAAATGAAAAGTCTTATTTTCATTACCTTACATGTTCTCATCTGTGATTGTAGGGCATGACCAAGAGCTAACACATTGTTGTACACATCCCACCCAACGTCTTGTGGTGACATCATCACGCGATACAACCTTCCGTCTGTGGGATTTCAGAGATCCTTCTATCCATTCTGTGAATGTCTTTCAGGGCCACACAGAGTAAGTGACAGTTCCTTCACAGGTTTTTACAAGTTCCAAAAGTATAAATGTATTCAGTTGCTAATCTGAACAAAACTGTTCCTGTGCTCTTTTTGAGGTGCTAAGTTCATTCCCCTGTTTTATGAGACTGATTTTCACAGAAACCCCTAACTGTCCTCCTTCAAATGTAAAACAGCAGTACTTAATTTCCAAAACAGCAGCCAGGGCTCTTGGTGTGATATTGCTGATATGGTAAGTCTAGATAAAACTCCTTACAATTAAAGGTATGAGGGTTGTTTTTGGCATTGGTTATGCCCGTAGTTTAGGGGTATTGCTGTAATGCAGTTGATCAAGCAGATTACCTCTGCTTGTCATGATACTCAGTGTGAAATAAAGGTTACTTCTTTGGAACCACTGGGAAAAAAGAAAAAAAGAAGCAGGATTAATTTTTACTCTTTAAGCTAAATCTTCTAATTTGTACATAAAATAAGAAATTAAAGTAAGGGCACTGATTACCATGTTCTGTCAAAACAGTGGTTTTCGTGTAACATTTTTAGTTGCCAATTTAGGCTTTAAGTTTTTATACCGGCTACTGTTGAATATGGGAAATGTAGTCATGAGAATCTATGTTATGGTGTTGACTTACCATTCTGTTAATCAGAGCTTTGATACATGGAAAATGCAGGAGTAACTTTGAAATGCTTTAGCCAAGGAAGCAAAACTTTTTTTAAGATTTTGGAATGTTTGAACTTGACTGTTTCAGAAACAAATTTCACCTCCCGTCTTCAGAACAAAAGATGATTGTCAGTCCTAGCTCAAAACAAAAACCAGAAAGATTTATTCATGCTTCTATTTTTTTGTTAATTCGAATGTGTAGTTTGCCTTATGACTGAGTTTCAGTATCCACTTTCTCATTTTCCCCGCTGTTGGCTAACCTGTATCTAAAGTAAAACCTCTTTAAGCCCCCTCTGCCCTGGACTCCTCAGCTTGATAAATTATTTGGTGCATGACAATCATGCCGTATAAGTAGCCATCTTCTGATAGAAGAGTAAACTTTTATTTTGTGGTCTGCATCCTAGAATTGTTTCATGCCATCATTTTTGTACTTTTGTATTGCTTTTTCTAGAATGACTTGTAAAAATTGGAAGCTTTTGTGTCCATTTGGTGCCTCCATTTTTTTTCTGAGCTAATAATTGCTTTATCCCAGGACATTTTTTTCAGAGAAAGGAACATGACTGACATTAGTGTTCTTCTATATGGATGCCGAGACCAAATGATGTTGGTCTGGGGTGATGGTGCATACTGTAAAAGCTGGTATTTTGGCCTCTGTGTCACTGAGACCTATAAACTATCAGGGAGTTTATTTTTATGAATGGAATAGACCTTGAGCAACCTCTTTGGTCACTCTTTTATTCCGGCTTTTAATTGTCTTCATATTTGTGTTTGTCTGTTGTATTGCCTATTTCCATTTTGTTCTGTGAATGTATGAGTTTGTAGTATTGACGTAGGCTTTTTTACCAAATACACTAACTTTTAAGAGTCTCAAAACTGACTTTAATGCCTAAGGTGGTTCAGCTCTCTGTTTTGTTGAAGAGATGATTCTGTTTTGGAAGATGAGTATTTCACTGAGGAACGCACTCAGAGTGGAGATGGGAGTTTGGTATTTTGCAGTCGAGACATACGTTGAGGGATTTTATTTTTGGTCCGTTATTGTGCTGCCTATTGGCAAAATATTTTTAAATTACTCTCTAATCAACGCTATAACAATCTTCTCACATTAAGCAGCATGGAGGAAACTGGTTTATCTGTTGACTAGAAAATACATACAGACAAGACATTTTTTGGCTTTTCTGAATGTCTGTCTGAATAATTTGCCAAGTTTTTAGTATTTTGATAGGCTCTTGGAATCAGTTCTGTAAATTGGATGTTACAGTCATTAACGCTGATGATTTAAAGTCCTCAACCGTAAGTTTTAACAGCCTCTTGCTAAGTAGGACCTGATGAATAGCTGTCTAGAGCTCACAGAGCAGCTATTTTTTTTTTTTTTTTTTTTTTTCCTGGGCATTTCACCAGCACAACTCCTAACGTGTTAACCAGTATAATTAGATGCCAAACATCTCAATCGGGAGGCCAGTATGTAGTGTTGATTGTGTCGTAGCCCCCAAAATCTTGCTCCATCCCGAGGCTCCCCCTCACGAGGGACCCGAACCGTCACCGAATCCTAGCAGTGCGTGGCTCAGAGTTCAAAGCGTCGATCCCTCGCGCGCTGTTTGACGCTGCCAGGCGCTCGCTTCTCTCCCGACCGATGCCCAGCTCCTCTCGGGAGCGAGGGCTGCCCCGCGCCGCCGGGCGGCGTTGGGGACCGAGCGTTGGCCTTGGGGGTCCGACCCTGAAATCGGAGGGGGCAGGCAGCCCCTGCAGCCTGCACTGTGCATCCGGCACGGGATCCCCGCCCCCCCGGAGCCGTGTCTGGGTTTGGGAATGCGGGGGAGGCGATGGGGACCTCAAACCTGCCGGGGAGCGCAGGGTTCCCTGTTCCCCGCAGTCTCACGCTTTGCGGCTGGGTTTGTTCTAAAGGCGTCGGTGGATGGTGTAATTTCGGCTTCCCTTTTAGTAGCCTTAAGGAGTTAGATTGAAGATTTAGTCAAAATGGCACATTATCTTGTAAAAAAAAAAAACAAAACTGTAACAGAATGATGCGGATGTGTTGAGAGACTAGAGAGTCCCGTTGTGTGCAGAGTCTGATTTATAAAGTTAATTAGCATCCAAAATGGGAAGCAGTTGCTGAGCATTGCCTTGTTCTATAAAGTGCTGTTCTCTCAAAGTAGGTGTGCGTATACCAGCTCTGAGAGATTATTTGTATTTTAAATGGACTAAGAAATCACCTATTATTTTGCTATTCTGATCATAATAACTGCTTGTTTTATTAAACGTGGAGTATTTCTTACAGTCTACTACTATGACAGTCCAAGAAAATAAATTTTCCTCCAGTAAGGCCAGAAGGAATCTGTTGTGATCAGTATATCTGTCTCAAGCTTCTTGCATTGATGCCGGTTTTGAATTAGGAGGTAGAATTAGCAGAACTAGTAGAATTGCCAACTGTATGTTAGGTTGTTCCAGTGCTCAACATTTCAACTTAGCCCTTGGCAAATTCTGTAAGTTGCTCACCCTAGTGTTTAGTTAACCTCCCTGTTAAACTTTTCCTGCCTCCCTAGTCTGTCTAGCTTCAGTTTCTAGCTGCTGGATTTTATCTTGAAGAGCTTTGTTCCTATATTAATAGATACTTAGGCGATGATAAAAGTTTCCTATATTTTCTTCTCTACAAATTACCAGTTCTTTTTAATAAGTTATCTATTTTGGCTCAAAGTGTGTTTTGTAATATATTTTGACACTTACATATCCACAGACCAAGTTCAGTACATTGGTAGTACTTTCCCTCTTCAAGCCTGCATTTGGCTGAGTCTTCAAAGTACATTCAGGTCTTTTTTCGAAGTTGCATCTTCCTAGGGAAATTTCCCAATCTGTAACCATTGCTTGCTTACATTTTTCTTATATATGACTTGTCTCAGTTCAGTACATGACTTATTTGCCTGTGCCCTGCTCACATAGTGATAAAAATAGAAAAACATTTTCTTTTAGGTTTGCCATGCCCCCTGTTCATCTCATTCCCTACTGATTAGTGAACTGGTGTGGAAATAAGACCGATTTTTGCTTATACATTTGTGTTTGTCTGATTTTGTGTGTGTGCCAATAGGAATTTATATTACTAGTACGGTTAATCCCCACACATCCCTCTATGAGATGTTTAACAGAGCCCTGGGAAAAGGTTACATTTATATTACCATCCAGACACTTACTTGTTGCATGTTAATTAAATTGACTTCCTGAGTTAAAGCCTCCAAAAATTACATTAGGGACTCAAATTCTAACACCTTTTCCCCCCCCAGATACTGCTTTAAAATACTTGTTTGGTAATATATAGCATCAGCAGTTCTCTTATTGAGAAATGATTGAATTTAGAGGTTATTGATTAGAACTCTTCTAGTTGAACTAAGGTGGTGCTCTGAAGAGCAAATCATTTCTGGCATCTACATGGCAATTTTCATTCCAGCTTCACTGCTGCTTTTGTTTGCCGACCCCTGCACAGCCGTGCCTTGTTGGGGCTCTGAAGGCCATTCTTCTTCCAATGTGGTGACCTCATGGAACAACTCTGGCATTGACATGCTCTTGCATTTGTGCTTGATGAGTTTTTCTCTCTTCAAGAACTCTGCACGTGCTGAGGTCTGTCTTGATATGCGGAGCCTTCTAAAATATTCATGTTGGAAATCTTTACCATTTTTAGCTTAAAAAATATCTTTGTACAGGTCCAGTCAAGTGCTTTACAGATTTTATGCATTTGTTCTGACAATTTAGTAACAATGGAAATAAATGAGCATCCTATTGGCAACAGAATGCTTATTAGCTAGTGGATTCATATACACCTTTTAAACCATACACTGCTTTTGCTATATATTTGTAGTACGTTGATGCATATATGCAGCTAAAGAGTTACTTGGTAAATATGAAAGTGTTTTGTTTTGTTTAGTGACCATCGAAGGTACACAGTGGTTGAGCACATCTCTCTTGAAATGCTTGAATAAAAATGTATAGGACTTCCAAGTCTGGACTTGCAAATATCATCGTCAAAGAGTAAGCTTCAGAAGCAGCTTTGGGTTGCTGCCCTTGATTGAATGTCCTTTGTTAATGCTTCTTGATTGTTCAGTATTTAGTTATGCACCAACCTGTCATGGCAATGCATTTTTGGCTTTTTAAAAAAAAAAAAAAAAAAAATTGAGCAGGTACTCTTGACCTAGCCAGAAAATGTACAAAGTTTGTTTATGACTTCTCAAACTTACTGATCTTTGTAGCTAGATTGAGCCAGTGCATCAGACATCGATGTGTGTTAGCTGTTGAATCTGTAAGTGTTACTTTCTGGGCAAACTTGGAGAAAAAATTGCTGAACGTGGATCTTGCGTTATTTC